TAGTGCATTCCTTAACAATATTGGACAGCAAAGAAAAGGCAAGAGGCAATGTCTTTATGCACCTGCATTATAGAATGTCATAGAATATTGAGAGAAGCTTGTTGGCAATTGGACCTGAACAAGGAAGTATGAAGTGAAGAAAACAGCCCTGCAGGAATTCCTGTGGCTTCGGTGGCTATGTGGAATGGATAACTGTGGTTTGAATGGGTCCATACAGGGGATCTGGAAAGCTAAGAATGGAAGTCCCAGAGTCTAGAAAAAATGTTTTAGGGGAATTATAACACTCAAAATCCCCCATTAAATCATTATGCCTAATGTGGGCCTGCCACTGCTACATTACCCCTACTGGGCATCTAGATTACTTGAAACTTTTTCAGAATGCTTCTTGTTTGGAATTTCATGTTGCATAAACCATTGTAATATTCCACAAAAATCACTGCAACTTTTCTGGGAGAATGAACACACACACACACACACACACACGTATTCAGTAAGACCCTCTTATCTGTGGGTTCACTTTATGTGGTTTTACTTACCTGTGGTCCAAAAATACGGTATAGTCAAAATATGAGGTTTGCTGGCAAGAAGATAGAAGTGTTTCTGGACATCTCTCAGTCCTCCAGTGTGATTCTATAGTATGCTTAGGCCAAAAATTGACCTCCTGCCTTCAGTTTGTTTTGTTGCCCTCCACAGGGCAGCAGGTAATTAGTTGTATGTGTGTGTATATGTAGGATTCTCCTGGTCACAGGAAGCATTGTTTCCAACCACAGTCCAAAAATACAGGGTTTGGTACTCTCAGCAGTTTCAGGCATCCATGTGGGGAGGTCTTGGAATGTATCCCTGGCAAATAAGGGAGTCTTTCTGTATTTGCCACAAAAATGAAATCTCCCTTTTGACTCCCATCCATCTGACTTTCCCCTCTTTTATTTTGCCAAAACTGTTCTTAATGCTATACCTAAAATCTAAGGTCCTCGTGTTATCTGCAGCTTTCAATATTTTGAATTGAACTTTTTAAGTTCTCTCCTTGATACTGGTTTTGATTCTGAAGAGTGCTTCAGTTTTGCCAATGATTTCTTTTTATTTCTGTCACTTGCTCATTTCTACCTTCCATCATTCATTAGGTTCCCCAGCATTTTCCACTGAGTCCTCTTTGCCTTGGGCTCACTCTTCATCTAGGGATGTCTCATCTGTTCTTTATGTGCCAGTTTCACTTTCATAGAGATAATTCATATCTCCACTCCATTTGCATCCTACTCTTCATTCTAACATTTTCACCTGACACAACTCCACTTGTAAATCAATGAAATTCTGGCTTTTCAGCCTCGTCTTGAGCATTGCATTTTCTAAGAAATCTACTCTGATAAGTTGCTAGGAAATATCTGGCAAATACATATGTCTCCCTCTTCAGTATGAAACCTTTTCCCTATCTTCCCCTACTCATAGCTATAGAGGCCATAGAGGAAGGACCATCACTTGGCAGTAGAATGTATCAATTGCATCTGTTGGATCTGAAAACATGGAGTGCCACGGCCAGTCGAAGTGGAGAATGATGGGCTGTACGGTCTAAGAGTTTGATTGATGATAATGCAGCTTCATATGCCAACAAGTGTGAGGTTATTAATAAATACTATTGCCTGTACCCTCTGGGACTAGGCTGGGCAAGATGAAGGGGGCATTTTTCTGGCCCTTGGTTCTTCAGAGGGCCACACCTCAAAATTTTGAAGTCGGAAATTATCTAGTCACTTGCAGTTTTTAAAAGTTTGTGTTTTAAAAGATTTGTTTAGAGGACTGTCATGCCCTTAGAAGTGCAATTCTTCCTCTTTCTTTTTTAAAAGATAGCTTATCTGTTTGTGTGTGTATGTATTTGCTTGAGAGATGTCACAAAATGGCTTTGGTCCATTTATGGCCCATGAGCCATATAATTGTTGTTGTTGTGAGATTTCAAGTTGTTTCTCATTTACGGTGACCCTAAAGCAGGGGTAGGCGACCTAAGGCCCGGGGGCTGGATGCGGCCCCCCAAGGCCTTTGGACCAG